CCCCCGCCCAACAAATGATTGGAAGGGCAAAGGCTTATTTTCCGATGTCCAGACAACATGATTCATGATAGTCGGAAAGCTAATGCGAGATCTCCTCCCCTTGGGTGGGGCAGGGCTGAGGGCGACTTCCTGGCACCCACAACAGATTGCAGAGGAGGCGGGCAGCACAGAGGGATCCCTGAACAGGCTTACATTACAGTTAGACTACGGCGGGGCGAGCTCAAGGGACCCGCGGGTCAGGTGGCGTGACACAGTTCACAAAGGCAACTGTGCGGGTTTGGCGAGTGCTGGCTGGTGAACAGCCATGTAAGGGGCGCCCATCGGTCTCTCCCTGTCCAGGAGAAAGAAGAGTGATGAAGATGGAAAGACACATGGACGCACTGAGTCCAGTGGACTGACGGGCATCTCATGCAAACATGTGTCCTCACAACCCTGAGATCAAAAGAACTAGATGGTGCCCAGCCACCGCTATCTACTGCTCTGAAAACCATCCCATTAAAAGGCCCTGGATAGAACAGGAGAAAACATGGAATAACCTTCCCAACCCCAATCACAAAAGGCCAAGCTTCCTGGTGGGATACAGTAGAACCCCCTAGCTCTGAGTCACCCTTCAAGTCTGGAACCCGGGTTGAGAATCATCAGCCATGTGCAAGCCAAAGGCAGCCCTGACTCAAGGGCAAAGGTCAGAGGGCCCGGAAAGGAGGAGGAATGGAATCGGAAGCAGAGAAGACGTGGGAGTACGTGCTGGCAGGGGCAGGGGACGGCGCGGTAGATGCGTGCAGACGGAATGTGTGTGACCTGCCGAACAGAAACCTGCCGGTCTGCTCTGCCACCCTTCACCCAGCTCACAGCTAGTTAAAAAATTTACAATCCGCATCCAGGAATGGCAGGTGGCCTTTAGGTCCCCAGGGCAGCCACCACCAGCCAGACAACGACGCCCTCTGCCCGCAGCCACAGGGTATGAATCCGAGAGAGTTTGGATGGGGAGTGGGGCCAGTGTTCCTCTGTGAGTTGAGACCCCAGCTCTGGACAAGACCTCGTGGGAGGCTGAGCAGAGGGCCCCACCACACGGAGGGTGTCCAGACGCGCTCCCACTGGACTTGCGGGTTAATATCTGTGTGCCGGTTACACTCCTAAATCCGTGCAAACGGTGTTATGCCGCAGGAGCTAATGTACCCAATTTCCAACAACAGAACAATGACTAGTGAAATTATCACCTGAAACCGTGTGAACGTCTGGAAACAAACCCCAAGGTCTATAAATAGAGGGCTAGAGAGATGCACTGTGGTACAGACACAAAGCCAACACGCCTCGGCCGACGAGGAGATCTATGGATTCCAGGGAGTCAAACGCCAGTGGATACTTCCAGGTGGGAAATAAAGCAGGAGGCAAGAGACTATTTGTAGCTGTGAGAGGTTAGGGGAGACAAATAGGAAGGGGTGGGAGAGGGAGAACGGAGAAAGTGAGGCTGAGGCTGGTAATGGTGACTAGACTGGCTCCTTCACCTGTGGAGCTAAGGAAATGTTTTATATAATCTTTATCCCTAAAAACTCTGAGCACACAGCAAAACAGAACCTGACTGCTTGTCAAGCCTGTGGCCTCTGACACTGGAAGGAAGACCCCGGGCGCCGGGAAGCTGTGTGCGCTGCGCCCCTCCCGCTCCTCCCCACAGCTCTGATGGGCCGTCTTCCTGTTCTGGCCAAGTGAGGGGGTGCCCTAGAAGTTGGCGGTTCAAGCCCCACAGGTGCGTCACAAGAATGGCTTGGTGATCACCAGGAAGGCCGCAGCCATGAACCCCCGACTGGAAACCAAACACCCAGAAAACAAATGCACCGCCATCGAGTTGATTCTGGCTGTGGGCAGCCCTAGAGGGCAGGGCAGAACCGCCCTGTGGGTCTCCGAGCCTGTAGCTCTGACCCAAAGCAGAAGGCCTCATCTTTCCCCCCACAGAGCAGCAGCCGTGGTTCTGAACGCTGGGTTTTTGGTTAGCAGCCCAACAAGTCACCCCCATGCCACGGGGCTCCTCTGAACCCCCCTTATAGTGTGGATTTACTCTGAAACACAAGAGTCACCGGGAATCAGGGTGGGCCCAACAGCAACAAGTCGTGGGTATGAAGCAGTGTCTCTTGTGGCTTTGATTTCTATTTCCCTAAAGGGGCCCTGGTAGCACATTGGGTTACAAGTTGGGCGGCTAACCACAGGGTCAGCAGTTCAAAACCACCAGCCGTTCCTCAGGAAAAAGACGAGGCTTTCTGCTTCTGTAAAGATTTACAGCCTCAGAAACTCACGGGATGATTCTGCTCTGTCCTATGGGGTCACTATGAGTCAGAATCAACTCAGTGGCAGATGAGTTTTGTTGTGTTTGTTGAATGACCTAGAATAATAATAATAAGGTGCCCTGGTGACACTGTGGGTGAGAAACTGGCTCAAGCCCACCAGCAGCCCCATGTCTGCTCCTCTAACGCAGCAGTTCTCAAGCTTCCTCAGGCTGCGACCCTTGAATACAGCTCCTCATGTGGTGGTGACCCCCCAATCATAAAATTACTTTTGTTGCTACTTCATCACTATCATTTTGCTACTGTGATGAATCAGGTGACCCCTGTGAAAGGGTCACTCGACCCCCCAAAGGGGTCGTGACCCACAGGTTAGAACCGCTGCTCTAAAGATAGATCGATAGGTACATACAGTTGCTATGGCACACAGCAGTGGATTTAGTGTTTGGGGCTTAAGGACTAACCTGGGTGGGACAAATGGTCAAGTGTTCAACTAGTTGAGAGTTTGAACCCACCCAGAAGCACATCGGAAGAGATGCCTGGCAATCTCCTTCCGAAAGGCCAGAGCCTGGACAACCTCCCTGTGCAGCAGTCCGCCCTGCACACACAGAACTGTTGCGGGCGGAAGCAGGCTCCGTGCCAACCAACGGGGACCACTATGTGCCAGCTGTTGTTACAAGTGCTTTGAATCTTCTCATGCACCTACCGGCCAATCCAATGTCTGCCTAAATGCTTGTCCTGGACACCTTCTTCTGAAGGTGCTGGGTCTTACAATGCTCTGCATACAAGTCTCTTACCAGAGAGTTGAGCTGCAAACATCTTCCCTGTCTGGAGGAAGGACAAGAGGGGGCATGGAAACACTAACGTCCCATGCAAGCATCAGTTTTCGTGACCCAGAGACCAGAAGAACTAGACGGTGCCCAGCTACCTCTAAGCGCCACTCTGAAAGGGGTCCTATTACAAAGTCCCGGACAGAGTGGTAGAGAAAGGTGGAACAAAATTCAGACTAATAAAAGAGACTGATGGGACCCCCAAGACTACGGCTGTTAGCAGCCCGATGCAAAACCCACCACAAGCACAGGCACCCTAGACACCATGCTCTAGGTAGCGTGTCGCTCTTCTTACGTTCTACCTGTGCAAATGGGGATAACAGGAAGAAGCCTGTACTAAGGAGCAAATGCGTGAACTCACACGTTCATTCATGTAGCATTTAGAACCAGGCCTGGCAGCAAGAAGGTCTGGGACTAGCTAATACACACCAGCGATGATAAATGACAAAACACGAGGCAGAGGAAATCTTACTTGCCATCGTAAATGACACCTGTAAGATACCTAGTAACTGAGCTAAGAAACAGCACACAGACGAGGATGGAAGAAGATAAACTTGTCAGAGACTGGAACTAAAACTCGACT